CCAGGCACTTGATCTCAGCCCACAAAAGAAAAGGAAATCTAGGGTTTGGCTCCCCCTCTCTCTCTCCTCCTCCTCTCTCTCTCATAGTGTCTATAAGTTGTCTGTTTTAGCCTCATCCCCTCCCTCAAGCCTCACACTCGCTAAATCTCTGTGTTTTCTCTTCAGCACGCACACTCTGCCTTTTTTCTTTATCTTTCATTTTCATGGTTTGGTGACATATTTTTGCTGTTGTTGTTGTTAACTTGGATTTTTAGGAATGATAGATGAACGAAAGCGAGGTGACGAAAGAAATTCATGTATGTCAGTACACTGATAACAGTGTGATGTTACTGTGAATCCCGACAGGTTCTGATCGCTTTCACTCACACATTTGTCGGAATTGGGTCAAATTTATTTTGTTGGATGATTGGAGTGCTTCTTTTGCTGTTTGGGCAGCTGATGATTCTTATTGATATTAATGGGTAATTTGCGTCTGAAATATTCATTGATGTTTTATCTATCACCTTGGAGAACTGATGCCCTTGGTCTTTTCCATTTTCTCCTTAGCATATGTTTGTGGGTTTCTAGAATGCTGCTTTCCATTTGAATTACTTTTTTGCTGCCACTGTCAGTACTAAAACCATTTTTCATTGTTTAATTTGCTCTTAAATGGTTACTTTTTTTGTTTGAGATCATGGTGTGCTTAACCTTGATCCTACCAACCCCTTTGGTTGCTTTCATACCGAGCATATGATGAATCTTTTTATTGTTGTAGTGTGGTTTAAGATATCTGTGGAGATAATGCGTAATGGGTTTGATGTATAGCTCTTTGGCCAGTAGGGATTGCAAATCTATGTACCTGTACTCTTAACATCAGAAGGAGGGATTGAATGAGGTTAGGGTTGAAGAGAAAATAAAAATGTTTCTTTTCTTTTGTATTGTGATCTTCATTAAAGAATATCTTAGAGTGGGATAAAATTCTTTGGAAGATGAGAAATGGGTCATCTTCAAATTTGTACTCCATTGGGGATGCTCTTAGAACATCTCTAAGAGCATCTTCAATGGTAGTCCAAATTTCGAGAGGGTCTATTTTTACACTCCAAATGCTCTTCAAATTGTGTATTGCAAGGAGAAGAATTCATGTATGTCAGTATCCTGATAACAGTGTGATGTTACTGTGAATCCTGACAGGTTTTGATTGCTTTCTAGCTAATTTCCTTCTTTTTCCCCACATGTATGTCAGTTCAGTACCCTGATAACAGTGTGATCTCACTTATTTACTCACACACATTTGTCTGAATTGGATTTAGTGCTAAATTCTTGTTGTCGTTGGATGGTTGGAATGCTTCTTTGCTTTGGGCAGCTGATGATTCTCATTGATATAATGGGTAATTTGCATCTGAAATATTCATTGATGTTTTATCATCTTGGAGAACTGATGCCCTTGTTCTTTTCCATTTTCACCTTGGCATATCTGTGTGTTTCTAGATTGTTTCTGTCCATTTAAATTACTTTTTTTCTGCCACTCTCATTACCAAAATCACTTTTCATTATTTATTGTGTTCTGAAATGGTGGCTATTTTGTTTGAGACAATGGTGTGCTTAAACTTGATCCTACCAACCCCTTTGGGTGCTTTAATAGCGAGCATACGCCGAATTTTCATTTTTTTAGTGTGGTTCAATATGTCTGCGGAGATGTTGTGGAATGGGGTTTATGTATAACTCTGTGGCTAGTAGGGACTGTAAATCTACTTACCTGTATTATTGACATCAGAAGTAAGGATTGAGTGAGGTTAGAGATCATTATTTTGTCGAGAAGTTGCCGGTATTGTGGTATTGTTCATTTAATTGTTGCCAAATTTTAGCTAAAACAGTTGGTTATTAGGGCATTCCAACAAAGCCATTTGTGCATTCAAATGCATTATTTTCACTCTTTTCGTGGTAAATGGCAATGCTATTATTTGAAATAGTGAATGGCATATTGGGGGAGGTCGTTCAATGTGAAAATTTGGCATTGTTGTCCATCCTAAATTGTGGCAAGAGGATTGCTAGGTACCTTCTCTTGCTATCTTATTCTTCTTACCTTTCTCCTTCTCCTGCAGTCTTGTGTATCATGCAAATACTTAAACTAAACCTTTAATTTTTTCAAAACATATTATTTCTGACATGCTTACCCTTAATGAAAGCTTTAGCTAACTCTCATATAAGGGTAAGTAGGGGTGATTGAAATTTATGTTTTGAAAGAGTGGGAGACTTCAGTGTTAAGTGCTTAAGTAATACACGGCACGAGAATGGGAAAGCTAGATTGAGTAAGATAAGAGGGGAAGGTAGCTAGCATTCCTCTAATTTTATATGAAAGGTGTACAAAATCCAATTTGGTATTAACACCTTCCAAATTATTAGTTCTCGTCTTTGTTTAAATTTTTGAGCTCAATAGTCATGAAAGTCGATGTTTCGGACAAACAAATAAGCAGATGAATGTTTTTGTAAATGTTGTTGCCTTGAGTTTGTCACTGCTTCAATTTCATATGGTCGAGTAGGTTTTTACCGTCAAGTTTGCTGGTTACAACAAGTCTAATGTACTCCTCATTGCTCATAGCCTTGTAGTTTGCGGCCTTCTCCTTGACAAGATCGGGCAGAGGACCAATCATGGTCATTGTATTTGGGCTGTGAAATCCTGCAATTGAAAGCCGTTCCCTTTCTGTGTTCACCACAGCCCTGTGCTCAATGCTCTTATATTCTCCATTACTCAATATCTGCAACAACATAGTGATTAGATGGAAAGCGTCAAGTACTGTTGGAGAGACTACATTTGTTTGACCGTATTATGTTCCAAATGGAGTATACATTATCACATCGATTGTTCATAGGCACATTACTGATACACAATTTGGTCAAAAAATGTGGTTTATCAATCTTATATTCTATTGGGTATTCATTGTGGTACCTCAATGATGTCGCCGATGTTGACGATTAATGCACCGGGTACTGGTGTTATAGGTACCCATTTGCCATTGTTCTTGATTTGTAACCCTTGAACATCATTAACTTGAATTAGTAGAGTCAAACCCACAGCATCGGAGTGTGGAGTGAGACCCATAACCCTGCTAGCCTGCGGACAAGGTGGATAATAATTCATTCTTAGACCTTGAGTTCCATCCTCAAACATGCTTGCTAGCTTCTCTGAATTGAGCCTCAGGTTCTCACATATTAACTTCCATAGGTACTTTGTCACTTCTTGTAGTTCCACTGAGTACTTATCCAGGGTCTCCCTGGTAGCAACGTGACCTATAATTAGTACATTAATATAGCAACATGACTAATGTTAATGCCTCGTGTTCAATGCCGAGTCATTTTTTCTTCGTGTCAGAATGAGTTAAACGAGTTTGTTGTGTCAAAATCGAGTTACTTGTGTTTGACACTAATCCGACTCTTGTTAATTATTTAAGCTAGCATGTCGTTTTATCTCATGTCAGGCTATGTTAGGTTCGAGTTGGGTTGTCATGTCAAAAGTTGCCACACCTAAATTGAATGACAAAAATAAAACAATGAAAGAAAAACCCAAGGCTTAGAACTTGATGGGATCTTAAAGAATTGTAGAGGTGGTTATTGATAATCGCATGTTTGATTTGATTTAGAATATTGATCATAGACTGCATAAGTACCTGAAAGAAGCGGGAAGGGTAGGCCAGAATGTAAGATTTCTCTGGGAGACTGGTTGAGAGAGAAGGAAGAGCATGTCCCCCCAGTCAAGTTTTTGCTCTTCAGAAACAACGAAGGCTTGGCCATAGCCTTCAATATGATTCGGCAGCTGAGCATAAGCCTTCTTTTCTTCTAATGGCAGCTGGAAGAACTCCTTTGTGTCACTCTTGATTTTCTCAATCACTTCTTCTGATACCCCATGATTGATCAACTGCACCAACACCACAATTCATATCAAGGCATCCAAGTATTAATGTAAATCTTATAGCGGATAATATCCGGCACAGGACCTCGGATGGAGGAGTGAACGCTTTCAAACTTTCAACTATACGTTTATATTTAAAGACAGCAACTTATACCTGAAAGAAACCCCAGTCCTTACAAGCCAAGTGAAGCTTTGCCAATTCATCACCATGGCCTAATGGATCCCCCATTAGCTTGCTCATATCAACTACCGGAATTTGAAGCGAGTCCTCCATGGAAACTTCCTCATGTTCAATTTCAGGCCGGATGTATCGGGGCGGGATTTCCTTCAAGTTGTTGGAAGCAAGAGCTTGAACATTCTCAACTGGGAGAGAACCACCCAGGTCCTTTCTGCTGAGTACCTCAGTCTCCATTCTCACACCGAGGATTGAAATTCTTTCTGCCATATATTATAGACATTCTGCTATATGGATATGTACTTTGGTGAACACAACTCTAATCAATGCCACGTGGAGTGCTAAGCATCTGCTTGCATCTTCCCTTTTTGGACGGCATTGGATCTTAATTATTTGTATAGGGAAAGCTTGTCTGCATATGGCCTGCAAATGCATTGCCTAGCATGTTCCGAAGAAACAAAGATGCTTAGCTTCATGTTTATGTTCCCAAACAAAAACAAGAGTAAATTCTTAAATTTGCTCATCCGGCATTTTTTGTTGTTATTGAAAGTGCATTTGTTCTTTATTAAAGGGTCAAATTACATTTTTGGACATACAAGTCTAACATTGTTAAGAAATCAAGTCCTACAAGTCTAAGATTATTAAAAAATCAAGTCCCTATAAGTAACATTGTTTTGGGTGATTGTAAATATTCCAGAGAGACAAAAGTGTCCTCACATGTGGCGGTTTCATATTGCCATGTCGTATTTCATCTACTAGTTTGACAAAACTAAATTACATGATTAAAATTGTCAAAATGACATGATAGGAAGAATAAAATGGTCATTGTTTAACATAGGATGTAGAGTAAAAAAAATGAATTTGAAGAATAAATGAGATTCACCATCGATCTTTTAAATCTTTTATGTTTTTATTTTTCATCAGTGAGAAAAGCGCTTCGAACTCATAACATCTTTCAACTCTAAAAAAGAGAAGTACCAATAAACCATTAGAAGATCGGGTGAAGTCTATTTAAAGTGCTATCAGTAATTTCTAAAGCATGTAATGCAGATAATAAGAAACCCATAAAATGAACATTGAGTTCAATATCCATACATACATCATACATGCACTACCTAGGCTAGGCATTGACAAACCTACAATGCTTCCTGATCTCTCCTTGGTTTCCAGTCAATGTGTTGATATTTCCCATCTTGATCACTGATTTTACAAATGAAGCAAAGAAAAGCTTTTGATCAGAGGCATAAGCCCACACCTGCTTTAGTATCTCCCCGTCATGATCTTGTGTGACCAACACATTATCAGACCCCAATAAACCTTTCCCTTGGAGTATGTTAAGGTAGTAATGGTTGTCAAATCTGGCTGGTGTCTGAAAATCAAGCGGTGCTAATTCATCGTCCCTCCCTGATTTCGGGCATATGGACCGTAGCATTCTTCGAAAGGTCGTATATCTCTTGTATTTATCGTATAATTCGTATTTTCCTCTGAAGTTTACATCATACACCCTCTGTCTGAAACTTAAACATCTTGCCCTTCCCATTGTGTGGCTACCTGCAGATCTACCCTTTGTAAGTCCTATCATTTAATAGTAATTTCATTGAAGAAAGAAAGAAAGAAAGAAAGAAAGAAAAAAGGCAAATTTTTCACATGATATTGATTCTTGAATAACTTACCTGACAAGGTAACCAAGTCTCCTACATCAAGGCCCTGTTGTTTGAAATTGGCAATGAGAGTTTCTAGAGAGGAATTCGGAGCTGGGATGAGCTGGTTGGCACCACTGAAGCTTGCTTCCAGTGAGTCTCTCCTGCCTAGCCACACATTCCAGCTTGGTCCACCTCTCTTTTCATCAACAGAAGAAAAATGAAAAATGTTACAAAATACTTACAATTTTTGAGAGAGTGATGCTACATGTATCAAATTTACTGAGGACATTATTTCTGATCACATCTCTTATGGACAACATCGAGAGAGAGATGTACCAATGCAACAGCATCGCGAGCAGCCAAGGCTAGAATATCAGCACATGAAACTGTTGTTGGACAAGCCTCTTCCAGGTGATACTTTATCTCATCGACAACCTCAAATCCTCGTAAAGAATCTAGGTTTGGGCCGGCTTGCTTTTCACTGACTATGCCTCCGTAGCTGTCCAAAAGAACAGATGCATCGCACCCCTAACTCCAAAGAAACAAAAACTGTTAACAACAAAACAAGAAGATCGAAGTAAAGTATTGATTCTTGTTCTTTCATATTTATGATATTGCTCTGTCTCTCCCCTGCAGTATGCATGCACTGACTGGCACAGGGGAAGACAAACTTGCAAAACCAAAGTCAGCAAATTTGGCTCCATATGTGTTTGTGTGTGTGCGCGTGTGCGGAAGGGGGAGAGGGTGAGAGAGACAGAGAGAGAGAGAGAGGCTCAACCAAAACAAAACAATCATGAAAATGCAAGCGAAGGAGTGAAGCCGCCATTCGAGGGTCTTTAGCCACTGCAATTGAAACACTACGCCTCACAATCTCTTCTGCCAAAGGGCACCTTTCTTTGTAATAGTCAAGAAATAGAGGTCCATCATGCTCAACAGAAGTTCCAATGCCATGAAAAACCATTGTTAGTAGTACTATCAAGAACATCCTCCTCCTTATGTTCTCCATTGTAGAAAATGAAATAGTGGATTTATGGTGTTGATTGGATTAATTTATGAGACAGGAATGTTGAAGTAACATCTCCATTTATACTAGTTTGATCTGTGTAGGCATTACTGTGACGTTTTTACTGCACTTTGCTTCAAAATGTTGCCTTCCATGTTTTCAAACCAACTTAGCATAACCACATTCCTTTTTGATATTTTGTTGAAAGTTGATGCAACTACTCCTACCTAACTGTCTTCTCATTATCTCAAAAGCTAACTGCTTAGTTTCAAGGGCATGGGGACTATTTCATGGGTCCACAAATTAAGGTTAAGCCCGTTATTAGCAAATGGTACAGGTTGAAAACCAGAAAGTAGCCATTTTGTGCCGGATTGAATATGCTCGATTCTCTTGGGGCTTATATTAGCTCTGGTGGTAGAGAGTATCACTTCTCCACCTCCGGCAAAAGTTCGAATCCCCCCTCTATTTAAACAAAAATACTTCCAACCCCCCTAATTCTGTCACTTAGCAAGATAGTGTACAGTGCATTTGTAGACTGCATTATTTGGTACAGTGTTTGGGTATTTTGTATTTGTTACATTGACTTTGGAAAATCCATTTCGTTTTTTTGGTTTTTTTTGTTGTTCTCCAAGTCAAAAAACCATTTATTTTTTCTAGTTCTTTTTTACTTCATCCGTACAAAGCCAAGATCCAAAGTCTGAAACATAATGCAACTTTCATGTTCTATTCAATTGTCAGATGATTCCTATCCTGTCCCACAGACAACCCAGAAGTTCTAACTACAGAAGAGAAAGAGAAGAAAAAGATAATACAGAGACAAAGAAACCAATATACAAACGAAAATCGCAACTGTTTAAGATCTGTTAAAGAAAGATGTTTTTTCCCCTTTGATGTATACTATTAATACCTTGACTTGTATAATATATATAAACTTGTTATCCTAGCTACCGTTTTGCATACTGGTATGTCAGTTATGGTGTTTGAGAGCAGCATCTTGAATCCCATCTGTCAAAAACGATACCAGCGTTCAACGCTTGTCAGCATGGCCTGCAATTTCCTGTGTAAAAGATAATCAGTCCATGTTAGTATAGGTATGCAAAAACATCATTATGTTGTTCAAGGGCAAACGAAGCAATAGGCGAATTACCACATAGCAGCAGCAAGTATAAACAGGAAGGCCACATACACAGAATTACTAATACAACTTCATATCAAATTCTTCTCAGGAACCTACTGTAAAGAAGTACTTGGAACATGGCATGAATTTTTATATATTTATTTTTGGTTCATAACATGTCACACTCTTGAACAATTTCATGGTTGTTTAATGATGCAGTCAGGTAGAGTGACAGTATTAAAGGTAACACAAGCAAAAACTCATTTAACAGCATCTCCAAAACCACTGAATTAAAAGTTAGATTTGTACCACGCAGCTGGGAGCTTCTCTAGAGGTTTACACAACAAAAGATTTCAGGTATTGCCTTGGTGTTGAATAAAAGGATAGCTATGTTGCTGATGCTATTTAGAGAAATAAGAACTCTAAATTGCAGTGGGCTGATATTGACAGAGTTCCAATACTCTTCAGAAGGAAAAAAAAATCGCATGATTGTTACCTGATCTCTTCTAATTAATAGTCTAAATCCTCATCTTCATCCAGGAAGATCTCAGGATGAACGGCTACACTAGTGCAATTGAGCGCTCGTTGCAGCTTCCAATGATCTAGGACTTCAACTTCAACCATGAAGACTGAACTAACTGGTCGATGATCTGAAAGCTTTATTTCTGCCCGCTCGTAAGAAAGTTGTCTGATGCCTTTTCCTAGCCAGAGTATACGATCACACCTGTTACAGGAATACCAAGTACATAAAGAGGAAATACTCATCAATTGACTGAATCATGGTAATAACTTCACCACTATATTGACTGGAAAAAGTACAAATAGTCGTGAAGCTGAAGGTTATTCTATGGTGTGGTCTCTCTTATAGAACTCCCCCCTACCCAACAAAAGGAAAAACAATCGTGAGTGAAGGCGCAGTTTCTAAAGTCTGTCAATTCAACATTATCAAGTTACCTTGACTCAAATTGACTAGTTTTGATGTTCTACAACAAATAAGAAAGTTAACTAATACTGTCCAAGTTCTTGACAACTGTCTAGTTGCACTGAAATACAAATTGGAAACATAGTCCACAGACGCTTGAGCAACCATATTTAGTACAGTTTCTAAGCATCGATGAAATATTCAATCAGAATTTTTAAAAAAATGTAAAAATATCATAAAAATATCAATATGACATTGAGTGCTCATGATTTTTCTGTTTCCTTTTCTTCTAAGCAACTAAAAGGGCAATGAACTATTCTATGCTTGGTGAAAAAAGTGATGTTGGAACAATTACAATCATGCTGGTCGCACAAAAGTTGTACTTACCATGCTGGTGATCTCTTCTTCTCTCCTTCTTTTGGGTTCTCTCCAAAATATCTGTCAGAGTTTATCTCATACTTATAGGTAGGTGGAAAGTTTATCACTCCCTCTTTCCATCCTTCAAATACATGCCCACTGCGGAGTTCTTTGTTTAGCTGCACATGGAGTGATTGCATTAAACGGCAGTTCAGTTTACAAAATATTTATGCTGTTTCCTGAACTATTCATGATGAACATTGTAGGATTTCAGGATTAAAAAAAAAAAATTGAATGAATAATGTTTATACTTAGTAGTGTCTTCAGCAACCCTAAGAATTAAAATCAAATTCGATGATCTCACCTGATCATTGCTGACAAGTTCATCCCACCGTTTGAGAGCAATGAGCTTCCTTACATCTGTGTCTTCCATATTGAGACGATAGTTTAAATCCCCAAACCAGAAAATCTGGCTGTTCATAGAAGCACCCCAATCACATCAAATGACAGTTCACATTGGTATATTATAGATATGAAAAAGAAGAGAGAGGTTCAACCATAAAATGACAAATTGGGCAGTTGGTTTCTTATTTTAATTGTCTACAGATAAACATAATTTATTTTGCTCTCTGTCCTCCACAATATTAAGTCATAACAAAAATAGACGATGGCAAAAATAAAAATAAAAATAGATGGCTTATAGTCTAATGAAGCAGCCAACATAAACACATATAATTAAAAAGAATGTCAACTGTATGCTTACTCATGAGAGGGAATTGTCAGCGGTTGATCTGTATCAAAGACAGACGAGAAACAGGTACGTCGTATAATTTCATACACATCTGAGTTCCGCCTTTGATCAGCCCCCTCCTTCTGACCAGAGGACAGATGAGAACAAACAAAGCACATTCGCGATTGGAAAAGGGACATACTAACGGAAACTGATCCCTGCTTGAGCAACCATGAATTACGAAGATGGTCAATAGCATTAAGGCAAGAACATTCAACAATTGATCAGCACATTATAACATGTTGTCTCCTCTACAATTAATGCAATCTCCAGCCTGCAGTTGATCACATTTTAATGCATCAGTATGTTGAGGGACACTGTTTTTATTTCATTTGAAAATCAAAACAAGTGAACTCATAGAACATGGCTCACTATTGTCGTGAAATAAACACAGCACCCTACATTAGCTTGATGCAATACAATGTAACCTACTCCAGATTGTAGATTGTGATAGCGGAAAAAAAAAAACCCCCTTTCAATTCCAAATTCATATTATCTTAACTTTCTTAAGGTTGGGAAACACCAACATCTTTTCCACATAAGATGATGCACTTCAAGCATGAAAAAAGAAAGAAAGCAGGAAGTACCTTGTTTCCCATGAAGCCCATTAGACCAACCCCAACTGGGGATACTTTCAGATTGTTAATGTGTCTCCTCAACTTCTTACGCACCCAGACGGATATATATATCCCTACCATTTGCTTGCTGACAATTCGGACATATGTAGAAGGTAACTTTGCTCCATCCTCGATAGCTTCATTTTTCAGTTGTTCATTTGGTAATTCATCAAAGATATCATCTTCCTCTTCCAAAAAACTGTCAGACACATTAGAGAGGTTGTCAAAAACTTGAGGCATCTCTTGCTGCTCCACAGAGATTGATCTCCGCAGGTTCCCAGAGCTATGGTGTGATCTTTTCAATCCACCATCTTTTTGTGAAATTTGAGGACTGAATATTAAAGGATTATCCGACGTATTAAAGCTCATTCTCGCAGAACTGCTCAGCACTCGCCGCAATTTGGAACTGGTGAAGACAACTTGAGGGGTTGCATCTAATGAAAGTTCAGGCCAATCTAGCCTACTATCGCAATCAATGCCATAAATTCTCCTCCATTGCAAATTTCTCCCAATGCTGAGTACTTTATTCAATTGACCATGTTCCAAGTCACAACCATTAGTAGCTCCAACATATTCCTTGCCCAGAAAACCTAACGGATGAGCATTAGTTTCTGCAAGTACATCAGCAACAGAAGAAGTCCTTTGTACTGGTGAAGGTGGAGCACTGTAGCATATGTGTTTGCTTTCGGGTTCCAAGGATTTGTTCAGAGTTTTTCGAATGATTGCCTCCCATTTTGGTATTGATTTGTTATCCTCTGCTCCCAGTACATTCCCAGCATTCAAAGGGACAACCTCTTGAAAACTGAACGATAATTAGTACCAATCAAATGAAAATGAAATGGAAACTAGATAAGATGTTGATAAAATACTTCTGGGTGAGCGCCTGCCACCAGAATATACCAGGCTAACCAGTTATCAAATGCAGTTTTTGAGGCAGGGGTGAAGGGAGGAAAGATCCCTTATGCAACAAACCGTTGGAAGTGTGTGCCTAGGTGGATTCTGTCAAGGGAGAAAAAATGATATAGGACCAACAACTGGAGGAGTAACTTACCCAAGAATGTAAACATCTGCTGGTTCTTCGGTACAAAGCCAATCGTCAATATCAAGATCTTCATACGGAAGTCTTCCACCAACATTCCAACTGCCTACTGTCACCCTACATACAACCATGTGCCCAAGGTACATTCGAGTAAGAACCATACTGGTACTACTTCTAGGCTAACATTGAAAGTGTACGAGAATAATAGCCGAACCTCACATCCTTTGTGTTTATGTACTGAGCACGTACAGTTTCTGATTTCCCTCTCCGGTGTTTTAACTTGTAGCCCTTAGATGGAAGATCTGAGGCAAATTAAAAAAAAACACATCATGTATATTAATAGAGAACATGGATATAAACACTTACGAGATATCTGATAATGATCAAACAGTTGTTAAAGTCTTCTTTAGATTTAATTATGAAGCAGAAACAGTTATATGATTAAGATGCCCAGAAATGGTTTCCAATTCAAGAAATTTCACCATTTTGCCTTTCTCTCTCTCATATCAAAACTTGACATCAAAGCTAAAGTTCCAGAAATTATTTTAGTGATAAGAATTACAAGAATAAATAGGTAAGATGAGCTTAATTTGGAACAAGTAAATACTCATAACGGAATTTACTGATATGAGGTGTGAAAAAAGAATTGCCTGAATGTTGACTTCGGAAATCGGAGTGGTTTTCTCTAAGGCCATGATCATCACGCATGTGCTTTCTTGCATCTTTGTGAGAGCAACCTGGAAGACAAAAATTGCAGAAAACTTGATTAAGCGGAGGATACTCGAGAAACATAATGTTGAAGAGTACAAAGCTGAGACCATGAAACCATACCGTCATCTTCACTTTCCGTTTCAGTTTCAGTTTCAGTTTCAGTATCAACCTCATCTGCACTGAAATCATATTCCTTTGGCTTTATGTTTAGCCATTTCTTCATCATAAGGGAAGGCCAGAAAGCCTGTAATAAAATGCAACATGAGCTGATCAATAGCTAAAACCATGTGCTGAAAACCATGTGCTGAATCTTGAGATTCATAAAAGTGGTTGACAGAAAAAGCATACCTCAGAGGGCTTTCCCCTTCTGCTTTTCATACTGTTGAGCTCAAAAATTTACTAGTGAATACAGTGAGTACTTATATACTTAAGACTTTGAAGGCACAAGCTCTAAATATGGAAGCAGCTTAAAACAGATAGACTTTGAATCCTGGTGCCACCATTCTTGGAGACTAACATTTAAATAGAAGCTTTTCAAAGCAATACCAGAAAAGGTAGGCTATAAATAAGCTTCTTTGATGGCCAGCACCAGAAGATTCATGCCAGGACAGAGAAGGTAAGTGAGGACACATTTAGCAGACATCCATAATCACAACTTGCAAAAGAAAAATACTCAATGGTCCTCCCACTCAAATCATAATTTTTCTGGTTCATAAAACAACAGCATAAATAGTATTGAAAAATCATAAATTCCCAAAAAGATTTCCACAAGAAAATTGATGTCACTTTCATGATAGCAGACTTGAACTCATTTGACCAACAGATATATCCACTGCAGCTCTTATTTTCAGGTAGTTAAATGCTAAGATAACCAAAGGCAAACAGAACAGTAAAAGACAAACACCAATAATCCAATATCCATCCAGAAATATAAATAAATAAATAAAATTATTTGATTAAATAACTCATTTTTACAAAAAGCAACTGACAGAATACTTTATTACAATTCAATTAAACAGACTGCTAACACACCTAAGGAAAACTCAATTCCACCAATAGGGCATCAAACATTTAAGCAAACAGGTGGCGCTCATCACACCTCAATGCCAAATTCCAGTGAGGGCAGTTACGATGGGCTATTATTGCTCACTCTAAATCTTTGCTCGAAATAGAAACCAACCAAGGTCAGGCCGCGATGCCTCAACCAAAACAGAACATTGACTACGACTACACAACTGTAAAATAAATTAGGCCCAACCAACTTTGAAAATCAGTAGAGCAGAAGGGGAAATGAGGATATTTACAGTAACTCTTGATGGTTAGCACTTCAGACTATGTGAATCAAAGTCGAATAATTTTTATCAGAGTGCGTGGTCCAGATTCACTGAAAATATAATTATTTAAAAAAAAAAAAAAATACCGTTCAGTAAAATATATACAGCGTAGGACGGCCGACATCGGTTATTTATTTCTGCAACTTTTCTGCAAAAGCAACAAGAAAGAATGTATATAATATGATATGTAAAAACGACCTATTAATTCATATTTAGAGGGACCACAGTTCGATGGCCTCGACGCACTATATGTGAAGGCCATGGACTCTTGAGCTTTCATTTCTACCCATTACCCTTTTTTTTTTTTTTTTTTTTTTTTTTTTTTTTAGGAAATTAAAAACACAATACGTTAAAAGAGAAAGAAAAATTGCAAATAATGCGTTCTGCACATGAGGAGTATGATGATACAATACGCATTGAAAGTTTAGAAATAGACTTTAGCCGTCAACTAAGAAAAAGAACAAATTAGGAGAGATAGTGGAAGTTGGCATCAATGTCCTATGAAAATGGAAATGTGAACATGTGTTTGGGTGCACTTTATTATTATGGGAAGCATATGATGCCAGTGACAGATTCAAAATTTGAAAGTTGGATTGATGAAACTTAAATATTATATTCGACGGTACAAGTTAATTTGAAAGTTGGTTTTATTTTTTATTTTTTATTTTTATTTTATTTTTAGAATTAAGAAAATATAACATGGGTAGTTATGTTCTATAAAAGTAGGAACTATTATATGATTTTGTTTTTATTTTTATATTTTTAATATAAAAAAGTGAATTTACCATATTATCATCATTTAATTAATAATTTCAATTCTTAATGCTTGAATTAACCAAGACCATTTTTTTTGGTATTTTGAATGTTTCACCATTCTCTGCCTTTTGTTTTATATATAGAAGATATATAGATAATAAAAAATACACATAGAGTGGAATAAATAAAAAAGAGAATTATCACCAAAGATTCCTGTTTGATTAAGTAGTAAATTAATCAATAATTTACATATCATATTTCCCTTTGAGTTTTTTTTTTTCTTTAGTGTTTTCTGTTTTTGGTTTTCATTTGTTGTTATGTTTTTTTCCTTGTATTTGTTTGTTCTTTCAAAAAAATAATATAACTATCAAATCATTTGTATTGAAAAAATAAAATCTCAAGAAGAGAAAAAAAAATTCAATTAAAAATCGTAGTAATGCACAAAGAGTAACTATATAGAAGTGGAAACTAAAAGAAGACTATTGCATTTTGTCTTCATAAGCAATAATATTTTGTTTTAGAGTTTTTATGTAAAGATATTTCTTCTTTGTACTAATAATGAGGAAAAGAATATATGCTCAAAGGGTATAAAAAAAAAACAAATAACAACACAATCACATATTCATGGAAAAAAAAACAACAATACCTAATGAGGGGTAAAAATGGCAACTAAAGAGTGAATAGCTATGAGTTGGCAGTGTATTAAAAAAATGCAGAGTCTGCCCAAAGGACAAGAGAAGAAGCTGTGCTCTAGGACATGAGTTGGCAGTGTATGAGTGTAGGCTATCAAATGTAGCTATTTATTTATTTGGAAAAATTTAAATTTGGGCTGGGCAGTAGCCCACCCTGCCCTTGGCATAGATCCGCTAGTAGCCCGCCCTTCTCTTTGCACCTTTAGGGTATAATTTTAATAAATATCCACTCATATTATAACACGTAGACGAATTATACCATGCAGTTATACTCCAGTTATATTACTAAACTCTTTTCAATTTGGCTGATTGGTTTTCTAATAAAATGAATAGTTCGGATTATGATATCATATTGTGTACATAAATAAACACACATGAGTATATATTAAGAGAGCAATTCTCATTAGAGTAGTCCAGATTATAATAGCATGGAGGAACAAGAAAATAAAAATTGGAGCAGTGCCCTGTAGATTGGTATATCATGTAGTCAGTTTTGCAAACACTAGTTGCAGTGCTTTGGATCCATATATTCCATGCCTCTCTTTATAAACTCTAACCTTTTGCAGGCTACTAATCTTCCTTTTTGGTGGCACCCACATGGACAGGAGTAAAGGGCAAAAACAGAAGCATAGAGCAGGGGAAAATAATGAAGATGGAGATGGCCAGGAAACTGACATGGTAAAAGCAACAGTATCAATAAAGTTAAGATACTCAAACGACGTTGTATTGTATCGTATGGTATAGTAATAGTATCAGGCAACAACATTATCTAATCCACGTATCTCAGCAAGTAAGATTTCAGCCACAAAACAATCATTGTTCATTAACTAAGTAAGAGGGTAGATTGAAAAGGAAAGGAAACAAATGGTCGTTCCTCCTCCATGATGGTTAGTAGAAAATGATAGTATGAAATTAGTTGACAACTTAGACTTTAACTTTAAATTTAAATCTCTGCGATGATAAGACACACACTTTGTTCACATGATATAGACGTAACGTGTGCTGTCCAGAGTTTATCTTAAGGATCATGTTAGGGAGCTCACTAATATAATGAATTCTACCTTTATTAAATAAATAGTACACAAGTTAGTATCTGAAAGTAGTCTCCGTAATAAGAACACAAAGAAAAAATCAATTGACACGCGCATGTGTCAAGGAGCTAGCACCCGATGAAGGAATGAGTAGTGGGAGTTTTTCTATTTTAAAAAAAAAAACAACTTTATTTGATGAGATAACGTAATGATATTTTAACACTCTTTTTCACCGCCACCGAGTCGGCCAACCGTCCTTAGAAAAGGAAGGGGAGATGGGTTTGAGCATATATAATATCATTTGACGATCGCATGCAGTTACTTTATGCCAGATCAGTTCCAACTTCTAAAGTTCATGTTAAAATAAAGCAAACATACATAGCCATTATACGTGTTGAGATTGAGAACACCACATTCTTAGTTTAATGGTTGTTTCGAAGAAATCAAAGGTAGATACTAGGAAGCATTATTATACCAATTAGCTAAGGAATACCTTTCTTCAGTAGTTAAAGATGTTCCGAGTTCGAATTCCCACTTTTGATTTTTTTAAAATAAAAAATTAAATAATACTATCAGACAGATGTTTCAAGTAAAAGATATTCCGAGTTCAAATTCTCACTATTCTTATTATAGAGAGACGATGACACTACTTGATGGTGAATTGAGATGGTACAAATGGCAACGTTAACTTCAATCATTCAATGTTGATGTTAAAATGAAAAATAATACAATGCCAAATGTATATTTTTTTTGTTTTCAAAATGGTTACCAAACCTATTATTTTGATTAAAACTGAATAATCACCGTATTAACCAAATTACTGAATAATTTCTACTTCAGGTAATTTTCTGCATGAACGATCCTGGAAGAAGAACTTAAATTAAAAATGAACAGTCTAGTTTCTATCATCATCCATCACTGCAAAACAAAAAAGAAGAATGAAGAATTAATGTCTAATGGAGAGAGATGAAGGAGCTGTTGCTTTCATTCCCTCCCAATAACAAATGCTTCAACAAAGAATAGGATTTGGTGAAACTCCCTGCATCAATGGCAACTTGGCGCGCCAGGCATGGAGACAGAGAGCAGTCGCTAGCCCTGCAGCTGTGCCTCACTTGGTGAACTGTAAGCCAGCCAGCCATTGAGAGAGTCAGCCTTGACTTTTTTGGCACACACATGACAAAAACATAGAGCACATGACGACACCAGTTGAACAATCATGGCGGTGCTCTCCTTCCTTCCTCCTACTTGTACGTATTGTTTTTGTTATCCTTCGCTGGTTCTAGACAAATTAAATGACTGGACAAAATTGGACATCTTTCTGTTTCGTGGTCCAATGTGCGTATGGCTTCTCTTTTTATATTTATAACTTAAAGTTAGAATTGAATGGGAATTTTCCATTCCATTCCATACACCACTAGCATTGTTTATGATTTCTTATTGGAAAACTATATATTTTCTTCTCGGCTAACTTTATTAAATTAAAAGGAGATTTAGGGAGCACAACCCTGTACAAATCGTACCATACTGGTGATGAAGACAATAATACCTAGGGAGCTAACGTGATTCTTGAAGCAGTTGTGCTATTATCTGTTGTGCGTGTGGGCGCACGAAGCATTGTTAGCCATTGATATGAATGGGACTCGAGTTGTTAGTAAACAGTATGTGTGAGCCTCATTATTGGTCTCATATATATCAATGACTAACAACGCTTCATGCGCACTAGTGTTTGCGACTGATTATCATCATTCTTAAAAATTGAAATTGAAATTCATATTTGATTGTGTTAGGATCAATTTATAATAGAATATATGAGAATCATCAAATTTAAACCAATCAACAATATAAGCAAAAATTAAAATAAAGTAAAGACAACCAAGATATATAACGAGGTTCGACAATGTGCGCCTATGTCCCTGAGACAATGATATTGTTGGCTTAATTTTTTTTTTTTCCTTCTGTGGAAATGATTATGAGAGGATGAAAGATTTGAAAATCAGTTGCTAACATCAGCTGCTTTCGAGCAACAACCCAGTCCATTTTTGCCTGCGAGCTTGCCTGGGCTGGTGGGTCCCATGCCTTGCCCAATCTGGGTTTT